AACGGAATAGGGAATCGACGTATAGAAGTGGGCACAGGGAAAGGTTGTGCAGGGCTAGGAATGGGACCTTTATCTCAATGTTTTGACTAGGTGGAGCCGGGTATGGCTAGTCGCAAATAAAAAAGATCTTGATGAATTTGTTATTCGCAAAGAAAATTTGCTATCAACACTGCGCCTACTCGGTTTCTTCCTGATTTTCTCACTTTCTCCATAGAACGATTTCACATGAACGAAAAGCTTGCTCTATTCTACAGAATTTTTTTATTTTCTAGCGCTTGGCTAAAAGGATGGGAGCACGAAGTCGTTGACCGCTTCAATAAGCGCCTTGATATGATGACAAATCTAGAAATGGAAACTGCTGAAGAGCTGCAGGTTGGTTTCAAAGATTGTTAGTCAAAGCTTTTTTGATTATTAAGTGCGTTTACAGATTGCTAACTACGGTATTGGTGGTCACTATGACCCCCACTTCGACCATGCCCGGAAAGATGAGGTGAAATCTTTCGACACACTTGGCACAGGCAATCGAATCGCTACTGTTCTTCTTTACGTGAGTCAAATTGAAAAAAATTCTGATAATTTGTACTTAGTGTTATTTTTCAGATGTCTCAGCCAGTATTTGGTGGTGCTACTGTGTTTACCGAAGCTAAATCTACAATCATGCCATCAAAGGTAATTTTTACTTTTTATATTGTTTTCCAGTGCGAAAAATTAGGAGAAAAATGACAAGATGTGGAATAATTTGTCGGGTAGCCAATACACTGTGATATAATAGAGATGGTTTCATTTTTTAGAATGATGCCCTATTCTGGTATAATCTCCACAGATTTGGTGATGGTGACCCACGAACTCGTCATGCGGCATGTCCAGTCCTTGTGGGCGTAAAATGGGTAAGTGAACTCTATAGATGTGAAAAAAGGGAATCTCCACTTGCTGCAGGTTTCAAATAAATGGATTCATGAGAAAGGAAACGAATTTCGTCGACCTTGCGGCTTGAAAATTTCGGA